ACTCCTTCTTTAACCTCACGCTTAAGCAGGTGGGCCAGGGAAGCCGGGTTCTTAAGTATGCGTAAGAGACCCACGCAGGGACGGGTAAGGCCTGCGCGACGCAGGCCCGGGGGAGCCTGCCATTCCGCGCGTCCCCCACTCCACCCGCAGGTCCTCTTCCTGGAGTGGCAGCGGAGTCGCTGCCCCGACGCCAGCTTCGTGCTCAACGGGGATGACGACGTCTTCGCGCACACGGACAACATGGTCACCTACCTGAAGGGCCACGACCCGGACCACCACCTCTTCGTGGGTCACCTGATCCAGAACGTGGGCCCCATCCGAGTGCCCTGGAGCAAGTACTTCGTGCCCACGCTGGTGTCGGCGGACGAGCACTACCCGCCCTACTGCGGCGGTGGCGGCTTCCTGCTGTCGCGCTTCACGGCAGCCGCACTGCATCACGCCGCGCGAGTCCTCCCGGTCTTCCCCATCGACGACGTGTTCCTGGGCATGTGTCTGCGACAGCAGGGCCTGGCTCCCGGCTCGCACAACGGGGTGCGCGCGGCGGGGGTGCACGTCCCCAGCCCCCGCCTTTCCTCCTTCGACCCCTGCTTTTACCAGAAGCTGCTCCTCGTGCACCGCTTCCTGCCCTACGAGACCCTCCTGATGTGGGACGCACTGAGCCAGCCCCTGCTTGCCTGCGGCAAGAAGGCCGGGGTCTACTGAGACGCTGGGAGGTCAGCACCCCCTTGCTCCTGTCCCCACCCTCGTGCGGTGTCAGGGAGGATCTGCCCAGCGAACTCCTATGTAGGCTTCAAAACCCTTTTGGTGCTGCTCACAGCAGGCTCCGGATTGAGCCAAATGTGAGCCGGCCTTTGCGTGGCTGCTGAGAAGTGCGATGAGAGTAGCCCTGGAGTCCCTGGTGTCAGGTTCCCGCCTTGCACTGGGCCTTAGCCTCCCTCGGGTCCCCAAGGAAGTGGGGTAGGCGGATCTTGACTTGGTCCCAGTGGTGTCCTCCAAGGACTTAGGGAACAGCATAGGGGTAAGAGGGGTCCGGTGTCCCACTGACCGGGTGGCGGGAAATAAAGTCTGTTGAAGGCTGAAGGTGACAGTTTACAGTGCATGGCATTCGGTCCCTTTTCGTTTTATCGGTTTAGAATTATTGTTTCATTGTGTATGCCACGCCGTGGGGGCAGGATGCTACCCTTCCGTGGGGGCAGGATGCTACCCTTCCGTGGGGGCAGGATGCTACCCTTCCTGGTGTAGCTCCTGGGGCTTGAACTCCAATCCTCTGCTTGGCGGTAAGTGCCTCTATCCACTGAGCCCTCTTGCCAGCCCCCTCTTTATTGTATTCTTTCAGCACCATCATTCATGTTCTAATACTGTCTGCTCTACTCCGCCCTATTTACCTTTAATATTTTATTAACTTACAAGCTCGAGGATCCCATTGTGACATCTTCACGTCTAAGAACTGTTGTAATTTTTAAAAAGCGGCACAAGAAAGAAAGACGCCGTGTGACAGGGTTGAAGCAGAGGGTTTTTTTAATTAGGGAAAGGAGAGGAAGGAGACCAGCCTCTGGCCGGCCTCCAGGGATGGGAGCAGCAGGAGAGAGGGAGAGAAAGAAAAAGAGAAGTCTGGGAGGTGGGCAGGGTCCTTTTTAAAGGGGACGGAGTGAATGTGCACACGTGGCTCTTAGTGGCTGCAGGCTGAGGTTCCTGTCAGAACCTCAAGGACACGACAGCACAGACGCCTGAGTACTAACAAAGTCTCCCTCGCTCCCTCCCCCATTCATTCATGCTTTTTTTTTGGGGGGGGGGGAAATGCCTCCTACCCCATCATTCTTTGATGGCTTTGTTTTCCCTCCAAAGGTCGAGGTGGATGCGGCTGGTGAAGCCGTCTCCTCCCAGCCTGGCTCTCACAGCCTCCATAGCTCCCGACACCCTAGGCCTGTGGAACTCAGAACCATCCAGGCTAATCAGGTCTCCGCAGCTGGCACCTCAGAGGTCTGACCCTACACTGCCTACCGCCCTGTGGGTTTTTCCCCCCTCTACAAACAGGGTCTAATGTAGCCCAGGCTGGCCTCAAGTTCCCCTTATAGCCAAGGATGACTATGGTCATCTATAATGAACTCCTGATTCCCATCTCCACATCTGAGCTCTGGCGGACACTGGGCACCACACCTGGTGTTTGTTAGGGCTAGAGACCCTCATGAGTGCCAGGCGACCCCCCAACCCTAGCACCTCTTCTGTCTATTGTGCACCTGCTGTGTACCTCACACCTCACACCTGAGGTGTCATCGGAGGTGAATGGCTGAAGGGGGGCGAGTAATTTGTCCTCCATGCACAGACTGTGCCAACTCCCCTGAGAGGGTCAGCTGTGCATTCCGGGCTGTAAAGGAGAGGGTGTGGGGAAAGGGCAGAATTGGGGTCCGGGGTTTCACACTAGAACGCTTGGCAGAGGAGCATGGAGCGCACTGTTCTCCCTCATGTGCCTTCTGTGGCTCCCTATTGCCCCGTGGCAAGTCCCAATCCACATCCAAGGCACCACCTGCTGGGGACCTCTGTATGCCCTTTCTCAGAAGCAGCCTTGCTCCTGGTGTGACGTTGTTGCTGGCACAGCCCAAGTCCTGTGTCACCTGAAGGTACAGAACTCTGCCTGTCCTGAGCCCTAGTCCAGGATTTGGGGTTAAGGATCCCTAGAGGGCTCAAACCCGCTTGACTTTCCCAAGCATCAAGTCCCCAGCCTCAGTTTCCTCAGTGGGTACTGGTGTCACCTCAGGTCCATGTGTGACTGGAGCAGAGTTGCAGCCAGCCACTGCCACCCACCCCTGTATGGCTTTTCCCAGAGAAAATGTATGAAATTGCTTTTTTATTTAGAATGTTCAGGACACAGCAGGGAGGGGGACACAGGCCATGATGGAGGAGGCTCCTCGGGGGATAGGGCATGTGGTCGTCCTTTTCTGGGATCTGTGAATAACTGGGACTGCTCCGAGGCAAATCCGGGGGTGTTGCGTTCACGCGGGTACCGGGAGGTATCAACCCAGGCGATCAAGGACCCGCCTGAGCCCCAGCCCCTTCAGTGGGGACAGAGGTGCAGCAGGTCTTGCTGGGTGCAGCCAGTGAGACAGCATTGGTGCACAGGGCTGGTGGCCGCGCTGCGGCCTTGGCGCTGAGGAGCCTGGAGAGAAGGTTGTGGGCCGGGGTCCAGGTCCGAGTCAGCCGCAAGCGCATGCAGGAGCTGCCGCTGCTCCAGCCACCGCAGCAGCTCCCCTGCAGGCCAGGCAGGAGTCAGCTTAAGTCCCTTCTAGACACCCACCCGGCACCCACCCGGTGAAAACGGAGCACGTGTAGAGCTCCTGCTGAACACAATATAACTCCCAGCTGCTGCCCGCACTCACCTCCCAGCTGTGTGTCCCCATATACCTCCTGTGCGCCCCAGTTTCTGGGCATGGAAGGTTGGGGTACCTAGGACTGTGCTCAGGACTGGGATTCCCCCTGTGGTTCCCTGGGCAGCACCTCCAGGGTTGGGACAGAGCCACCCACAGCTGTGCACAGGGACAGAGGGATATCTGTCCCCTGGGGCTGGAGGTGGAGTCCCCTCAGGTCCCCAGGAAGAGCCAAATGTCAGTGACTCCAGCACTGGGATGCCAAGGCGGAAGGATTCCTGTGAGTTTGAGGTCACTTTATGTTGCTTAGTGAAAATCTGTCTTTAATAAACAATAAGCCTGATGGTGACGACTCGTGTCAGTCATGCAAGCACGCCAGCCTAAGGTGAGGAGTTCAAGGTCATCCTCGGCTATATTGTGAGTTTGAGTCCAGCCTGGGCTATATAAGATCAGGTCCAAAAATCCAAAGAGGGAAAAGATAAATTAAAAAAAAAAATCCACAAACTCTCAGTCTCCTGGCCCTCTCCGTTTTCCTCGAGTCTACCCCGCCCCGCCCATCCCTACTCACTGTCACGGGCGTCCGCGGGTTGGGAGGCCTCGGAGGACCAGCGTGGGCCCCCGCACACCCTCACAAGCGCGCGCACCAGGTGGTGTCCACAGAGCTTGTCCCGTGCCTCAGGGGACTGCCGGGATCTCAGTGCGAGCTCCAGAGTCGGGAGCAGCAGCAGCAGCAGCAGCAGCAGCAGCGCGCGCATGGTGGCCAGAGGCAGCTGGCGAGGATGCCCCTTATAGTTGCCTCGCACCGCCCACGGGCCTTGGCGGGAACACCGAGTGCAGCACCGAGAAGGTCGATGCTTGGGGTCACGGCCAGGGGCTGTGTGTCCAGCCAGGGACCCTGAAGTCTCTCTCCCAGGTGCCAGGACCTCCCAACATTTTAAAGAAAACCAAGTTCCCCTCCTGTTGTAATGGTGGTTCCCACATGTCTTTCTAGCACTGAGAAAGCTGAGGCAGGAGGATTGCTGTGAGTCGAAAGCAGTTTGGGCTGTGAAGGAGACCGGAGGGGCCATTTATGACTTGGTTTTGTCCAAGAGGGAAACTGAGGCTGGGAGAGGGGAGGACAGAACCTGAGAGACCCTGTCCCCTGCTTCCCTACCTTTGGGGCTCTTGTGGGGTACTGCGGGCACTGTGCTGGGGTGCATAGTCCTGGCCCCGCCCAGCTCAGACCTTGGCCTCTGACTGCCCCTGCCTGAGACCATCCCCCATTCGCAGCCCGAGTCAAGGACCGCAGTTGGGCAGGAGGGGAGGGGGTGTCCTTGAATGTGACCAAGGCCTCTCCTCCCAGCTGTTCCTCCCCCAGAACCCCACACTTGGCCCCCAAGCCTGAACCACTTGTCAGTCAGCTCTCCAACACCCTCAACTCCAGTCACAAACCATCTTTTCTATTGAATTCATTTATTCACTCAACAAACACTCCCAGAGCCCAACCTGTAAGGGGGCCATGCTGAGGCTTCAGTGCCCGCCAGGAGCCACAGGGCTGGGAGATGGGAGCTGTACACAGACACTGTTGCAGACCTGGGGTCAGGAGAAAGGGTTTGGGTCGATTTCAGGCCGAGGCGGAGTGGTGTTGGTGCGGTTGCAGAAGGAAAGAATTCCCAGAAGTGACAACTGCGCAGACTCTGGGGTCACATATTTAACACCCCCATTCTGGAAAGGTTGGAACCGCAGGGGGGTGGGGAGCGGGGATGATCAGCCTGTAAGGGGGTGGCGCCCAGAGGTGGAAGGTCCTGCTGCGGTCACACAGCCAGCCCTGGCTGCTATCCAGGGCTTCCACGCCACAGAGCGTCCAGCTGCGGGCTCAGGGCGCTGAAGGCCGGCCGGTCTTGCGGGCTGGGAGCCCAGCACAGCTGCATGAGCTCCTGAACCTGCGGGCGGGGACACGAGGAGCAAGGGGCCTGGGCTTCGCTCTGGACAGAAACTAAGCCGGCCCGCTGTCCGCCCCCACCCTCTAAGGTCTGGTGACAGGAACCACGACTGGCTTCAAACTCGTGGTGATCCTCCTGCCTCAGCCACGCCTCGCTCTGCATTCGCTTCCGTCTACAACTTAAAGGCACCCTACCCCACCCATGGCCGTGTCCCTTGCTGAGAATGACTTTCCCCAGCTACTGCAATGGGCGCTATTCACGCCTGGACGAGGCCTGACAAACGCCTTAGAAAGTGTGCTCAGTGGTGGGAGCTTGCTTAGCGTTTGTGAGGCTTTGAGTTATATTCTCAGAATTGAAAAAAAGTACGCAATAAAAGAAAAATTAAGATATGGATTCCGGAGGGTCATGGTGGTACACGGGAGACTGAGGCAGGAAGATCACAGCATCTTGCCTCAACAAAGGTAAAATGCCATCATTTTTGAAACCCTCACCGATGAGCCTCCCTCATCCTGTTAAGCAGGGACATTCCCATTCTGCATATGGGTAAACTGAGGGTCTGCAAACTCCAGTCACTAGCCACACAGGGAGAGGGGGACAAATTGGGGACAGGACACCAGCTGTCAATCAGTAATGGAAACTGAGCCGGGTAGTGGTGGCCATCCTTTAATTAATTAATTACAGCACTCCGGAGGCAGAGGCAGGGGGATCGCTGTGAGTTCGAGGCCAGCCTGGTCTCCAGAGCGAGTGCCAGGATAGTCTCCAAAGCTACACAGAGAAACCCTATCTCGAAAATAAAACAAAACAGAAAAATGGAACCTGGGAAACTGAGTTGCCCTCCCTGGGAAACTGAGTTGCCCTCCCTTACCTCCATGGGGCAGGCTGCAGGCGGCGGGAGGCGGCGGCCCTCGGCCAGCAGCTCCAGGAGGCGGCAGAGAGCCGGCCCATCACGCTCAGGGCCCAGCATGCGCAGGAACTCCTGCAGGGAGGAGGGGGGTCAGGAGGAGGACTGGGGGTCAGGAGGAGGACTGGGGGTCAGGAGGAGGACTGGGGGTCAGGAGGAGGACTGGGGGTCAGGAGGAGGACTGGGGGTCAGGAGGAGGACTGGGGGTCAGGAGGAGGACGGGGGAGACAGGAGGAGGACTGGGGGAGACAGGAGGAGGACTGTGAGAGACAGGAGGAGGACTGGGGGACACAGAAGGAGGACTGGGGAGACAGCAGGAGGACGGGGGAGACAGGAGGAGGACTGGGGGAGACAGGAGGAGGACTGTGAGAGACAGGAGGAGGACTGGGGACACAGGAGGAGGACTGGGAGAGACAGCAGGAGGACTGGGGGTGTCAGGAGGAGGATTGGGGGTGTCAGGAGGAGGACTGGGTAGGCAGGAGGAGGACTGAGGGACGCAGGAGGAGGACTGTGGGTCAGGAGGAAGATTGGGGGTCAGGAGGAGGACGGGGGAGACAGGAGGAGGACTGGGGGTCAGGAGGAGGACTGGGGGCCAGGAGGAGGACTGGGGGAGACAAGAAGAGGACTGGGGGTGTCAGGAGGAGAACTGGGTAGACAGGAGGAGGACTGGGGAGACAGGAGGAGGACTGGAGGTGTCAGGAGGAGGACTAGGGGAGACAGAAGGAGGACGGGGAGACAGGAGGAGGTCTGGGGGAGAGGATGAGGGAGGGGTGGGGCTGGCGACTCACGGCAGAAGGGCTGCAGCTCTTGTCGCTGTAGGTGAAGAGCTCGTACAGCACCACGCCAAAGCTCCACACATCAGACTGGCGGGAGAAGATGTTGTCGGACAAGGATTCTGGGGCGTACCTGAGGGTAGGACAGGTGTGTGGATAGATCACGGTTATGGATGTGGTCAGGGAAGCAAAGGGGCGTGGTCGTGGGGGGCGAGATCAGATGCCTACGTATTGGCACCAAGCTTAGGGTGGCATCCGAAGCTTAGGGTCTCCCTGGCAATAAGGGCACGTATGGGCGTGGCCAGTCTGGGGGCGGAGCTTGAGACACTTAAGGTTTGGATGATGGGCAACTAGGCATAAATTGCGTGAGGGGAGGAGCCGGAGTTGGGAGGGCCGAGTAAGATGGACAGAGTGGAGGTGGATGACTATTGGAGGGGCAGACTGGTGAAGCATGGAGGGCGGGGCCGTGGGGAGAGACGAGGCTAGGCAAGAGAGGGCCAAGGGGCGGGGCAGGGTGTGGTCACCAGGAGATGTAGCCTGAACAGGGGCGGGGCTACGCTGGCTGGAACGCCCCCTGTGGAGTGGTCGGGGCCTCATTACTGGAGGCGAGGCCTCTGCCAGGACCCAGGGCTGCGCTAGAGAGGAGTCGGGCCTGGGTGGGGTCCCGGTGGGCGTGGCCTCGCACCAGAAGATGGGGCTCTGTCCCGGCTCGCGGACCACGTA